CCTTATGAGGTATACATCATAACTATATACCTCATAAGGAACAATTCCCTCTTGATATCCTGGATATTTTTGAATATATTTTTTTAATTAAAGTTCTCAAAAGTATTATCAAAAGTGATTTTTTAAAAATATCTCCAATTAATTAACTAATTAAAAGTATTATATTTTTAAAATTAAATGGTTTTTCAATTTTTTTGAAGGAATTGAGATACTTCCCACGACAATAAAATTGAGAGGTTTACATTATGACTGATCTTAGCATGCAACAGTACAACCAAAATATAAGTTAGTTTAAACATATATTGCTATATCTCATGATCTTACTTAGTACTTTTAAAGTTAATTTCAGAAAAAATTTGACACAATGGTATCCGGCACATACAAGTGGTGTACAACCAAAATATAAGTTAGTTTAAACATATATTGCTATATCTCATGATCTTACTTAGTACTTTTAAAGTTAATTTCAGAAAAAATTTGACACAATGGTATCCGGCACATACAAGTGGTGTACAACCAAAATATAAGTTAGTTTAAACATATATTGCTATATCTCATGATCTTACTTAGTACTTTTAAAGTTAATTTCAGAAAAAATTTGACACAATGGTATCCGGCACATACAAGTGGTGTACAACCAAAATATAAGTTAGTTTAAACATATATTGCTATATCTCATGATCTTACTTAGTACTTTTAAAGTTAATTTCAGAAAAAATTTGACACAATGGTATCCGGCACATACAAGTGGTGTACAACCAAATCTTCGACTCGATGAACTTGTCATCGAGTTATATTCCAGTGTTGTTCCTTCATTCCTGATTAAGTTGCAAATTAAAGGTCTGGATTCAGAGAGAAGTGTTAAAGTTATCAAAAAAGTCACAAGAGATTTCGAAGAAATGACACAATTTAAAAAAGTCGAATGCATCAGTATGCTTGAAGCTGTTCAGAAAGGTCTGAAAAATGATACACTTGATCCCAACATTGTTTACTCAACATTAAAAATATTATTGCAAAGAAAACATTTGATTTAATAAACATTTAATTTATTATAATTAATTTTTTATTACAGTATAGTAAAAAATGCTATAAATAAATTATTATATTTTATTAAAATGTGACTTTTAATAGTAAGTGAATAAAATAAATCAGGAATTGGGAAAGAAATAAGGTTAATTAAAAATAATAAAAATTACAAGTTTAAGGTTAATGAAAAGTGACAATGGGCGAGTTTGTCCCCCACTCGGTCGCAAGAAGAATTGCATGATAAATAAAAACATTTAATCAAAGTCAATTTTATTTTTCATATTCAAATGGACTGAGTGTTAACATTTAACATTTTTTGCTAATTGTCGTCAAAAATTAGGCGTAAAGCCAAAATTGATATTTCATATGGTTTTATGATAGATAAGCATTATATTCCCACTCATTATATTCGTAAATTTTGAGGTTTATCCTTCGCTTTTAAGATCATTGAATTTGATTTTTATATAAAATAGTTATATATTAGAAAATAATATGAGTTTATGTGATATTATTTTTCAGAAGATTTTGTGTTCTTCTTCAAAATTTTATTTTTTTATTAAAAAGAATCTTTACAAAATATACATTTACTTTAATTAATATTTAAAAACGTGCTCTATCAAAAGTTCCAAAAATTCAATATTTTAGCTTTTCTGAGGTGTCACTTTTGATGAATTTCTGTTTACAACACTATAACATTACATAATGTATACACAATATATTTGTTATATTATTTTAAAGAGTAGGTGACAAAAGTGCATACTCTTAAACAACCGTTGGATTTCCGGGTGAAATCGTGACACACTTTCGTCTTTCGTAGGCAGTGGTGGTTGTTACAAAAGGTAACTTCGAATGTAGCGTGAAATCTGCAAAAAAAATTCTGAAATTTGAATGGAGAACACAAAAATTGAATAGTTTACGTCAATAAAAAAGAGAAAAATGAAGCCAATGTGTCTCGAACCTAGGACTTAGAGCAGCAATCCCACTGTTTATCAAATTACACTACATGCATCTCTCAACTCAGTGAATGAGATCAACTATATGATAACTTTTTCCCCATTATATTCTTGTGGAAAAGTGACAAATAGCAACTTTGACCCTCTCTCTTATTTTAAATTTTACAAATCCAAGAGATTCTGATTGCATAAAAAATTATGATTTAATGCGATAATTCTATGATGTTTGTAATATACTATTCATGTATATTGAGTATGACTATTATTAATGCATCTTAATGGGGATAAAGAAATAATAGATAATTGATTTTCACATATGATATATTTATTGTTGCCAATATAAATATTTTTGTAAGTATTTTATACTGTTACTCTTATGATGCTTATTATAAAACTCAAGATAAAAAGATTTCAACAAATTTTCACATATGATATATTTATTGTTGCCAATATAAATATTTTTGTAAGTATTTTATACTGTTACTCTTATGATGCTTATTATAAAACTCAAGATAAAAAGATTTCAACAAATTTTCACATATGATATATTTATTGTTGCCAATATAAATATTTTTGTAAGTATTTTATACTGTTACTCTTATGATGCTTATTATAAAACTCAAGATAAAAAGATTTCAACAAATTTTCACATATGATATATTTATTGTTGCCAATATAAATATTTTTGTAAGTATTTTATACTGTTACTCTTATGATGCTTATTATAAAACTCAAGATAAAAAGATTTCAACAAATTTCATTATATCTCATTTTTATTAATGTGATTATTATTAGTAGTAGTAGTAGTGTTTTATATTAGAACTCTTAAATACGATATTTGAATTTCAAGTGAAGTCACTTTGTTGAGGCGGCCTTTAATACCTCAGAAAATAGATTCATTTCCTGCCAATCTGGAAATAGTAAAGTAACTGAAGGATCTATTTCCAACAGCAATACCAATTATGATGGTACATTGTATCAATATACTGGGCGAATAAATACTGAATCAGTAAACTTTTCTAGATGCCAAGCAAATAGAGGATCAGCTCTTTATTATTTGTCACTCAGTGAATCCACTCAAACTCAATTTTGTTTCATTGATTCATGTCATTCAACAGAATATAGTTCAGTTTATTTCAGTTCATTTAGTGCCAAATTGATTAGATCTAATATTATAAACAATTCTCAAACTAGCACTAGTTTCGGAATTATTTATCTAAGTGGTAATTCTCAAAGAAGACTTGATATTGAAGATTGTATATTTGATAAAAATTGTCAAAACGGCAAAGGAGCGTATTTCTGTACTAATAGTGAAGCATCTATTTATATATTCAGAACAATATCAGACTTAAGAACAACACGTCAATATGGAAGCACAATATATATGTCCTCCATGGATACTAACTCTTTTGAAAATAATTTTTCACTTAATTTACCTTTAAAATGCGGCAGACAATTCGGAAATAATTTACATAATACAAACATCATATATTATGCATTTTCATTTTCGTATTTAATTTGTACAGCATTGTTTTCAAAAAGATAAATGTAAAACTTTAGCCATAATATAATACAGATACAACTATTATTTTACAAAATATCTCCTGAAAGTAGAAATAACTTTTCTATTCGAATTTGACAATTGCTTTTTATTGTTACTACCTTTCTTGATTAAATATTGCTATAGAGAGTTTCTAATTAAGCTCTTAGGATAGCAAAATAGAGACACCCAAAGTCTTCAAATAATTGAATGTCTCCCCAAAATTGAGATGGAATGCATGTAGTGAGTGAATCTCCCCAAAATTCAAAAAACTAAAATCAATGAAAGATATAAAAGAAAACTCTTGTAATCGGCCAAAAACTATAAAAAGAAGGTTTAATGAAAAATGAACGATCTAATTTTACATATTTTAAAGCATAAACATGTAAAAATAAAGACTTGTAATATGGGATACTACTTTTAAACACCAGATATGAACTACAGCTTATAAATTAAGGTACTATTGCTATCATGTATAATTTGTTTAGCAATTACTTCTTAAGGGTATAGTAAACTCAAAATTCTAGAGTTTTGAGAGTGCCAATAAACTCTATAGGCCTATATATATCTATATTTTAAAGGAGAGGTTACGCCATAATATTTGATATTATAAATTATTAATTCAAAATAAAAGTAGAAAATGAAACTAATTTTATTCTAACCTATATAAATATATCAATAATCTAAAATGATTATAGTCTGAACTATATTTTACCAGATTATCAAATATAAGAGAAATGAAATAAGGCATAAAAATATCATAGCATAATTATTGGATAAATGCATTAATAAATTATTTATATCATAATGAGAAAAAATCAAAATAAGAAAATGAGCATAATAATAATTTAATTAAAAACAAAAACAATAAATAAAATGTTATTTTCGTTAATCAAAGTCATCAATGTCTTCGTCTTCTGATTCCCATTCGGACTTGAAAACTTGATAATCTCCTCCTGGTACACTCTGAATGTATTTTTTGTATTTGTTCTGTTTTTTAGAACCTTTTGTAACAGTTTTTTGTTTCAATATCATTTTGGAGTAACAATTCTCTTCAAATGATTTGACACAATCTTCTGGAAGTGGGGGAAGATGTAATGCTTTTTGTATATCTCCGAGAAAATGCTCTGGATCATTCCATTCTAAGATTGCAACGTTAACTCTAATGTTAATGTTCTTCCAGGCTCTTGATTTGTCCAAATAGCATGCAATTTTGGAGTTAAACGCTTCATTCATGCAGGTAGATCCAATGGAAGAAACTTTGGAAACTATGGGTGTCCATTTGTGAACCCAGTCATAGAGCATGAATTGAAGTTGGATCGAATTGACACCTTTTTGCCATTCAAAGCATTTGTAATTGTGCGGTTCGCAAAAAGAATGATTGCCTACGTAATGGTAGACACAATTCTCCCACATTTTCGTACGTTTGTCAATATTTTCTTCGGCAAAACATGACCAAAGCCACATACTTAGGCTTGCATTCAGACCCCAGAAAGGTCTCTCTATTTTTTCAATCTTCTGAGTCTTGTCGTTGAAAACTTCAACTGTCTTATGAGAAGCTGAGAACTTTGTAAAATCTTTTGAGATATTTTTTGATACATGACCTGGATCGAATCTTTCAAGATGAGAGACGCCAAATTCTTTAAAGACAGAGACACTTTTGTTATCTCGGTCTTTAATAATCTCTTTAACATCTTTCAAGATATTGTATTTCTTTAATTGCTTCAAGATGATTCGAGTTCCAGCACTTTCCATATTGTTGGAAGCTCCGGAATACTGAGCATGCTGTCTGTTTCCACCAATATGGTTGATGTTCACGCATGCAAGAACTCTTTTTGTGACAGCATCGAGCGCAGTTACTGTACAACTTGGCGAGTTTCGCCTGTGCGTCCATCTTGCATCAATGGATAAGTAACCACTGAAGGACTTTCTCGACAGCATTAGGGAAATACTTTTAAGTCTTCTAATCTTATCGTCACAAAATCTCTGTTGTCTCATGACACCACTCTTCACAGGGGGCTTAGTTCCACAAAGAGAAAGAAAGCGAGCACCTTTTGTATATGGCATTCCGGTCATTATGCAAGCACCAAGCATCTGTCGCGCTGAGAGTCGACGACGTTCGTGGAGTAAAATGTTATGCATTGCCTTTGTTTTCCGTTTTGGGTGAACAATATGGCCCATACAACAAAAAAAAATGAAATCCCGCCAAAAGTGAAAATTGAATAAAAAGTAATAATTAATAAATATATACTATATCATTAGATGAATATTTTGGAATAACATTTTAAAATCGAGGTTTTTCAATGGATAACGGTTCAATCAAAAATTTGACCCCATTTTAGAATCTACATTAAAAATGGAACATTTCTGTCGTTTCAAAATTCCAAAATAACGTTTCTATTCCTCTCAAAAGTAAAAATAAACTTTATTGGGGAAAAAATATTTTTATTTTCCAAAAAAAAATGAAAACCTTAAATGCAAATCTAATTTTGATGCTTTTGTTTGTGATTTTTTGGATTTCGAAAAAAAAAAATTCAGACAAGTTACCATTAACACTAATACGTTTCAGCGAGTCGGTCCCATCAGAGAAATTTTCATAAATCGGCGATATAATTTATTATTTCAGCAAAATATTCTCAGATCCAACTAGAATAAGGTCAAATTATACAAATTTAGCAAAGGCTAGTTATCCTACCTATTCAATTAACTTTAATTTTAAATAATTCAAGACAATTCTCAAAATTACCTTAATAATTGCGTTCTCTTCGCAAAATGACGATTCATCATTCACTACCAGCATAACTGAGGGCTTGTGCTCACAGAATAATACAGATAATTTACTTATTAATGCAAAATTTAGTACCAAAAGGTAATCATAGAAGATACAAAAAAAGTTTCTTTATTTTGATTGCTGATTTTATTTCTTCTAAAATTTACCAAATCTAAAAAATCCAAAATTGAATGCTATTGAATTTCATGTTTATGTAACATATACTATTTATTATATAAGGAATAAAAATTTTATAGTTTTAATCAAAAATAAAGGTGTACTAAATGCATACAAAACAAGGTATTTTTTACTCATCCAAAATATGTTAACAGTGCTATTTATATAATCAATATCCGAATTTCGAAATCATTTTGATGAAATCTTTATTTTAAAATTGAGTTGACTGTTAAAATCACCCGAGAAGAGGGATTATCTCAATGAAAAGTACATAAAATAGCAAACGCACAAGATGGCACTATGCAGCTTTATATTGTTATACAGGATGAACATATAAAATGTTTGGAAAACACTTACTTCGTTCTACAAATGTGTATCTCTTTATATCAAAGATTCTTCTCAAATTATTGAGAGACTTCTCTCAAAAAAAGGAAAATTTGATAACTAAAAAAAATTATGGCATAACCTCTCGTTTTGCATAGATATATATTTACATGGTCACAGTGTTGCATGCTAAGATCAGTCATAATGTAAACCTCTCAATTTTATTGTCGTGGGAAGTATCTCAATTCCTTCAAAAAAATTGAAAAACCATTTAATTTTAAAAATATAATACTTTTAATTAGTTAATTAATTGGAGATATTTTTAAAAAATCACTTTTGATAATACTTTTGAGAACTTTAATTAAAAAAATATATTCAAAAATATCCAGGATATCAAGAGGGAATTGTTCCTTATGAGGTATATAGTTATGATGTATACCTCATAAGGAACAATTCCCTCCTTAAAATGAGAAAACTTGTTCGAAATTGTTTATCATTTCGAACAAGTTTTCTCGTTTTTAATAGGAAACTAAAGGCTATGAGGCACTGATTATATATTAGTGCCTCATAGCCTTTAGTTCCTAATAGATAGCTGGGGAACTTTCTCCAAATGATAAGTTATTCAGAGAAAGTTTCCCAGCTATCAAGAGGGAATTGTTCCTTATGAAGTATATAGTTATGATGTATACCTCATAAGGAACAATTCCCTCCTTAAAATCGTAGACATTTTTATACTTATTAATCAACCATTCAAAATCATATTCCTCTGAAAAGTTATTTTATTAAAAATTTAGAATTTTAATAAATATAGAGTTTGAATTTCATACAATACCTATATATTTTCAATAATGGAATTTGAAAACCATTCTCAAAAGTTCTCAGAAAACCTTTTTTCATTAATTTTAAGAAATCTGAGTATTAAATTAAGTGATAAATTCGTTTGACATTACTTTAATTTTTAAATTCAAAAAATTATATGTGCTTCTTAAAATGACTCAAAAAATTTATTATAAAATAATATATAATATTAAAAATCCCACAACATTTTTTTACTTTACATAATCGTACTTCCTCGACGATTAATTTACACTCAATTTCTATCGTTGACCGAACTTAGCATGCAACAACAGAGCTTATTTTCATTGTCAAAACTTAAAAATTTTTAGTGGACTATAAGTAGTAGGATATGAAGGGTTGTGTGACTTTTTTTGTTACATCTATATATAGACGATGCATTAAAATATATTTATTTATAAATCATTAAAAAATTAACATTAATTTTAAAATAATTTATTTTTTTATCTTTTATAAAAGAAGCTATATATAGATGATGTCAGATATTCCGCGATTAATTAAACATTGTTTAAATTCTGAATGGGTTAAACTTCAATTTAAAAATGAAGATTGTGAATTATTAAATGAATATGAAAGCCAAAATAAGCTAATGAGGTATAAATATAATGATAAAGAATATTTAATTTCATGGAATCAATGGAGTCATAATCAAAGACCTCATAAACGAGAAGAAGAAATTGAAAATAATGAAATGGAAATCATTGATGACATTAAAGAGGATGGAATTCCTAAATTTTGTAGAAAAACCTTTAGAACTAAGTTAGGAGCATATAAAGTAGAGTATTAATCCTGATATCTTAAACTCAATTTAAAAAGGAAGACTGTGAATTATTAAACGCTAATGAATATGAAAATGCTAAATCAAAACTGAGATATAAATATATTGGAAGTGATGAAAGGTGTAAAGATAAAGATAAAGTTTATTCAGTTTCATATAATAATGGCACACGTTAGGGATAAGAAAACATTTAGGAGATTATGGGAATGTTCTGAATTCTTTAAATCTAGTATCCGAGAGAGTAAAAGAAATTAGAAATATTATTTTCATGAATAAAATAAAAAACTTTTTAAAAAATAAACTTTAAAATTCATGTCTTACATTTTTGAATAATTTATTTTTTTATTTTGTATGAAATGAGTGAATCAAATTCGTGACTGTGAATCAATTAATGGATAAACTTTCACCAATTCTCACCCAGTTAAACAAGTAGACGTTTATTTTGATGATTACATACAAAGTTTATTTTATAAAGGTAAGTTTAATATTAACCTATTGCTTTTGCATTTGATGGTAAATTAATCGAAAATTCAAAATTTGGGAATTAATTCGGATATTGAATTTATAACAAATATTAAGGATAAATGGTTTAAACAACAAAACCACCTCACTAAAGTTCTTTGTAGATTAATGATTAAAACTGAGGAAAAAGAATTTAACGGGTTTAAATATCATCCATGTAAAATTTTAGAACTTGGTAACGAAAAACTTCAGAAAAATTAAACGCAAGACTATCAAAAGATAGAGTTGAAAGAGTAAATAAACTCGCTAAAGGTAATGGTAATGATGAAGAAGAATTTGATGAGTTCAACATTGAACTTTAAGAAACTAATGATTATTTGAATTTATGAAATCAATTATTTGATTCATTCTTTCTTCAATCTCTTCTATTCTTTTTGTTAATCATCTATTTTCATTAATGAGGTGATTCTTGATTGAGGAATAGATTTCAAACTAACCACCCCCTTTATTTTTGAAATTTTGAATCCATCAACTTTAAACATTTTTATTCAATTTACATGTTGTCAATTCTTCAAATAATTTTTTATTATTAGCATAATAGTCATTAAATTCTTCAACAGATGAAAAAATTTTTATTTCAGTAATTGGTTTAACAACGTTTATTTTTTGTTGAACATTTTCACTTTCATTTTTTCTTCCTCCTCTGTTTCATTTATTTTTAAAATCGGTTTCATTTATCATTAAATAAAAATTAGAATATAAGTGATGAAATATATTTTTTTAATTAATATTAAATCAGAAATGGCGGCAGGATTCTTTAAAAAATTATGGGATGGAATTAAGAAAGCTGCGGGTTGGGTTCATAAAAAGATTATTAAACCCATTGCAAACTTTTTGGCACCAGTAGCGAAAACGGCAGGAACTATCATAGGTGGAGTATTAGGTACTAAAGCAGGTAATCCGGCGATGGGAGCACAAGCAGGTAACGCAATTGGTGGAATAGCTGAAGGAATACTTAATAAAATAGGAGGTAGATAGTGGAAAAATAAATAAATATTATTTTTATCTTAGTATCGGTTGTAGTCTTTGATAAACTTTTTCTCCTTTATTTAAAACTTCTCTTATTGGGGCAGCTTTTGGTGTTATTGATTCAGCAACGTCACTAATTGCTTCTTTATTCTTAAATATCCAATTTGCTCCTTCTTCAATGTTTCCCAAACTTTACTCGCTCCTCTTTTTACTTTATCCACAGTTTCTTAAATATACCTGCAGCCATAGTTGATTATTTCATTAAAATTAAAAATTCATTTTCATCTTTTAATTTTGATTTTTTATTTATTAATAAATGACGACTAACTATTTGGTGCCAAACACTAAACCGATTAATGGAAATGTGTTTCATTCATTCGAAAAGATAAATGAAATATTCGCAAAGAATGACGGTAGAAGATATTATAGAGAACTTGAAAGTTCATGCTATGACTCTGATGCTCCATATTTTGATGATAAACAAACTCATTTAAGAATTACAAATCCGGCTCATGATGTGAACCAATTAGGTGACACATATATTAAACGCAAAGTTAAAGCAACTCTAGTTTCAAATAAAGCTTTCACATGTGATGCCGCTTTTAAATGCATGCGTTTATTCGTTGGTTACAAATCATCAAATCAAAGCTTTAAACAATTAGAAGTAGAAACCGAAAGAGGTGATGCCGGTTATCTTCAGATGGATTGCGCCCGTGAATCTTTCGCATTTGCAACATATAAACCAAAATCAGAAAGGAAAGTTAAAAAGTTTGTTCATTCGTTATA